TATGAATGTCATGTCTGCATGTGAATGTGAGGTCCACAGATAAAATCAGTCTCCGCAAATCTATAGACAGTCTGGCTAAATATAGAGCCTCTCTTGCAGCGCTGCAGAAGTGCATGTCTGCGTTGCTACAACACGACTTGTCGTTCTTGGCAACGTGTCGACTAATGCCTGTTTGACGTTGAGAAAAGAGATTGTCTAGTAGTCTACATTTAGTGCGAGTTTAAACTGGACTGCGATTCAAGTGGGCTAGCGTCTAAGTGGGCTAGGATTATCGAGTTTATATCTATGTACTGATGGTTTAGCAGTGGATTTTCAGGGAACATAAAAGGGCGGGGGTGGCGGCTAAGGTTCCTTCTTAAAAAGCGACCGATGCGTTTTCGATTATCGATTAGTCTCGGCGTGTCAACATATTTCAATAGCTAGTATGTAACGTTCAAGCCTATGTAAGCATTTTAAATCAAATGAACGGTAAAACTACCTTAAACAATTGTTACATCTCAAGAAAACTAACGTGACGACATAGAAGGACAGTCGCCGGGACAAAAGTAACCTTTGATAACACGGGAAAATATCCATCTTTTACATGATGCCAATCACGTTGAGTATAAAGAGCTTATAGAGCCTGTGTAGTTTATCTATGTGTAGACACATTGAGATGTGAGCTTCTGAGAAGATTGACACTTTAAGATGTGAGCTTCTGAGAAGATTGACACTTTAGGGTGTGAGCTTCTGAGAAGAATGACACTTTAAGATGTGAGCTTCTGAGAAGAATGACACTTTAAGATGTGAGCTTCTGAGAAGAATGACACTTTAAGATGTGAGCTTCTGAGAAGAATGACACTTTAAGCTGTGAGCTTCGGAGAAGAATGACACTTTAAGATGTGAGCTTCTGAGAAGAATGACGCTTTAGGATGTGAGCTTCTGAAAAGAATGACACCTTAAGATGTGAGCTTCTGAGAAGAATGACACTTTGAGATGTGAGCTTCTGAGAAGAATGACACTTTAAGATGTGAGCTTCTGAGAAGAATGACACTTTAAGATGTGAGCTTCTGAGAAGAATGACACTTTAAGATGTGAGCTTCTGAGAAAAATAACACATTGAGATGTGAGCTTCTGAGAAGAATGACACTTTAAGATGTGAGCTTCTTAGAAGAATGACACATTGAGATGCGCGCTTCTGGGATGAATGAAACATTGAGATTTGAGCTTCTGGGAAGAATGACACATTGAGATGCGAGATTCTGAGAAGAATGACACATTGAGATGTGTGTTTCTGAGAAGAATGACACATTGAGATGCGGGCTTCTGAGAAGAATGACACATTGAGATGCGGGCTTCTGGGAAGAATGACACATTGAGATGCGAGCTTCTGGGAAGAATGACACTTTAAAAAGCGAGCTTCTGAGAAGAATGACACATTGAGATGCGGGCTTCTGGGAAGAATGACACATTGAGATGCGAGCTTCTGGGAAGAATGACACTTTAAGAAGCGAGCTTCTGGGAAGAATGACACTTTAAGAAGCGAGCTTCTGAGAAGAATGACACTTGAAAAGCATGTTATGACAACAAGAGTCCTGAAATTATAGGCTTTAATTGTGGGCGACTTTTCTAACACAGAGGAGGTCTTGCTGGCCCCGCTCGCCATGGGCTGTGAGTTCTATGTCTTGCTGGCCCCGCTCGCCATGGGCTGTGAGTTCTATGTCTTGCTGGTCCCGCTCGCCATGGGCTGTGAGTTCTATGTCTTGCTGGCCCCGCTCGCCATGGGCTGTGAGTTCTATGTCTTGCTGGCCCCGCTCGCCATGGGCTGTGAGTTCTATGTCTTGCTGGCCCCACTGGCCATGGGCTGTGAGTTCTATGTCTTGCTGGCCCCGCTCGCCATGGGCTGTGAGTTCTATGTCTTGCTGGCCCCGCTCGCCATGGGCTGTGAGTTCTATGTCTTGCTGGCCCCGCTCGCCATGGGCTGTGAGTTCTATGTCTTGCTGGCCCCGCTGGCCATGGGCTGTGAGTTCTATGTCTTGCTGGTCCCACTGGCCATGGGCTGTGAGTTCTATGTCTTGCTGGCCCCACTGGCCATGGGCTGTGAGTTCTATGTCTTGCTGGTCCCACTGGCCATGGGCTGTGAGTTCTATGTCTTGCTGGCCCCACTGGCCATGGGCTGTGAGTTCTATGTCTTGCTGGTCCCACTGGCCATGGGCTGTGAGTTCTATGTCTTGCTGGTCCCGCTGGCCATGGGCTGTGAGTTCTATGTCTTGCTGGTCCCGCTCGCCATGGGCTGTGAGTTCTATGTCTTGCTGGTCCCACTGGCCATGGGCTGTGAGTTCTATGTCTTGCTGGCCCCACTGGCCATGGGCTGTGAGTTCTATGTCTTGCTGCTCCCGCTGGCCATGGGCTGTGAGTTCTATGTCTTGCTGGCCCCACTGGCCATGGGCTGTGAGTTCTATGTCTTGCTGGTCCCACTGGCCATGGGCTGTGAGTTCTATGTCTTGCTGGTCCACTGGCCATGGGCTGTGAGTTCTATGTCTTGCTGGTCCCACTGGCCATGGGCTGTGAGTTCTATGTCTTGCTGGCCCCACTGGCCATGGGCTGTGAGTTCTATGTCTTGCTGGTCCCGCTGGCCATGGGCTGTGAGTTCTATGTCTTGCTGGCCCCACTGGCCATGGGCTGTGAGTTCTATGTCTTGCTGGCCCCACTGGCCATGGGCTGTGAGTTCTATGTCTTGCTGGCCCCACTGGCCATGGGCTGTGAGTTCTATGTCTTGCTGGTCCCGCTGGCCATGGGCTGTGAGTTCTATGTCTTGCTGGCCCCACTGGCCATGGGCTGTGAGTTCTATGTCTTGCTGGTCCCGCTGGCCATGGGCTGTGAGTTCTATGTCTTGCTGGCCCCACTGGCCATGGGCTGTGAGTTCTATGTCTTGCTGGTCCCGCTGGCCATGGGCTGTGAGTTCTATGTCTTGCTGGTCCCGCTGGCCATGGGCTGTGAGTTCTATGTCTTGCTGGCCCCGCTCGCCATGGGCTGTGAGTTCTATGTCTTGCTGGCCCCGCTGGCCATGGGCTGTGAGTTCTATGTCTTGCTGGTCCCGCTCGCCATGGGCTGTGAGTCCTATGCCACCAGTTGCACAATTTAACACTGTTGACCTAAAAGACAGAAATGTGCCGACAATGTATCTGTGTGTGCACGCGCGCGTGTGTATATGTACATAAGTGTGTGGAGTGAGCGCGCCTGTGTGTGTGTGAGAGAGAGAGAGAGAGAGAGAGAGAGAGAGAGAGAGAGAGAGAGAGAGAGAGATGTGGACAACACACAGACAAGTCATCAAGCATCTTGTGACAATGGAAGTGTTATTTCCAAGAACATTGTAAACAACCAAATAGGCGGATATCAAACATTGTAAACAACCGACTGGGCGGATATCAAACATTGTAAACAACCGAATGGGCGGATATCAAACATTGTAAACAACCGAATGGGCGGATATCAAACATTGTAAACAACCGAATGGGTGGATATCAAAATAAATTAACCAGAAATCAGCCCTTTAAGATGCAGATGAGAAAGTGTCAACTGAAGAGAGAAAGCTGACACAGGAAAGATTTGTTGCCAGTTTATCGTGACAGTTGACACAAGCAAGATTTGTTACCAGGTTACCGTGACAGTTGACACAGTCAAGATTTGTTGCCAGGTTATCGTGACAGTTGACACAGGCAAGATTTGTTGCCAGGTTATCGTGACAGTTGACACAAGCAAGATTTGTTGCCAGGTTATCGTGACAGTTGACACAGTCAAGATTTGTTGCCAGGTTACCGAGACAGTTGACACGGGCAAGATTTGTTTCTAGGTTATCGTGACAGTTGACACAGGCACGATTTGTTACCAGGTTATCGTGACAGTTGACACAGGCAAGATTTGTTGCCAGGTTATCGTGACAGTTGACACTGGCAAGATTTGTTGCCAGGTTGTCATAAAATTTGGATGTAGTATGTCCCGAACACTCTCACTCTTGTCTTGGTTGCACTCTTTTTCATACTGCCCATCTTCCATCTCTCTATGTTGTCCTACTACTTGTATCACTATTTACTTCTTACTCAGTGACCTTTGAGTTTTTCTTCCAGTACAGATTTTTTGTCCCCTGAAGTACCAGACAGTTTTGGGAAATGTCAAAATGGTCTCATACGTCAGTGAGGCGAAAAACCCAACTGCACCTCTGCGGGGTAGAGGGTGGGCAAAAGACCACGATGTGGCAAACACAGCTCTGGTGACTGAGCCACCACTGGAATAAGTGGACAACTGTGCAGCTGAGCAGAACAGGGCACTCACTTGTCATGACAGTCGGTCTGTCAAAGGTAGAAGTAAAAGACCCCCATGTGTACGTGGAAGTCAACGGGAAACCACCACATTATTTTTCCAAGCATTCATGAAAAGTCACAGATTCAAGTCAGCAAACAACACTGATAGATGTTTTCGTCCGGTAGGGACACCAGACAGTCGTCAGACTAGTGAGGGATAAAACCAATAGATTTAGAACAGGAGTCTGGAATGTTTGAACAAGGGAGATAATCTCTTACAGGAAATGAAAAAGATGAAACTCAACATCCTGGGAATTAGTGAGATGAGATGAAAGGGATCTGGTAAAATAATTACTGACAAAAATACAATAATATATTCAGGTGGTGAGAAACATGAAAGAGGAGTAGGACTAGTGTTTGAGGAAAAAACAGCTAAATCAGCTAAATAATGTTGGAGTATATCGGATACAGTTATCCTGGTTAAACCTTAATTCAAGCCAATACACATAAATATCATATAAGTATCTGCGCTAACGACAAACAATAAAGAAGACCTGCATAGATTTTATGATGATGTGAAAAGTGAACTAACGCAAACCAAATCAAAAGACATTAAAATGATAATTGAAGATTTCAACGCAAAGCAAGAGAAAGAAAGATTGGAAGATGTACTTGGTGATTATGGTTTATGCGCGAGACATGATAAAAGAGAAATACTAACAGAATGGGCACGGGCTGATCATGATGATTGGAAACATCTGGTTTAAACAGCAAGAGACGACTTTACGCAGGGAAAGCTCTGATAGTAAAACGTTGAACCAAACTGACGACATCATGATTAAAAAACAGATTTTAAAATGCGGTAATAAATGTGAAGACAATGGCTGGTACTCACTGTAACAGTGATCACATCCCACTTTGTGAACAAGTAAAAGTCAGATTGAAGAGAGGAAAGCAAAAATATGAAACTTAGCAAAGATATCCTACAAGTGGATAAAGATATTCAAGACCAATACAGTTATTGTAAAAAACAGATACCATGCAATACCTAAAATTCAAAGTACAAATGAACAATGTGAAATGCAACCATACTCTGTTTGCCAAACGATCAGCAGCTGTTACCGGAAATGAAACAAAAGACCCAAGAAGAAATGGATGACTGAAGAAACATTACATTTGATTCGGTTTTTGAGGTTTTGAACAACGGATCAACATCATGGCACACAGGTGTAGCCCATAAGTGCTCCGTTTTTCTTCTAACTCAAGCCTGAGTCCGAAGAAGCTCAGCATATTGCACAGGCTCTGTAGCACCGGCGAGGATCCTAAAATACTTTGGGTAGATTTTTTACTCCAAATTTTGCCCGGGCAGTGCCGAGAGGCTACTCTTTTTTATTCTCAACTACCAAGGAATTTGTTAATGTGCGCAACAATACACACGGGCGTCTGATCTCTCTAGCACACGAAGCGGACACCATACCTCGAGAACATTCAGCCCCTGAAGAAGTTGATGGACAAGCGTAAAAATAATAAAAATAACAAAGAAGAGTAGACAAGATACGAACAGAAATCAGAACTAAATGTGCAAGTGCCAAAGAAAAATAGTATAATGAGCAATGCAACAAAAACTGAAATAAATTCCCTTAAAGATACAAAAAGTATGCACCAGCAAATCAGCAATTTGACTGGAACAAAAATAGGAGTAGATACAGGATGTTTAAAATCAAAAACAGGAAAGTTGATAATGGATGAGGATTCTGTAATAAAAAAGATGGAGTGAATACAAACGAGAATTATATAATAGAGAAAGAACAGGTTTAACAATAGAAAATAACTTAGAAGTGCCACCCATACTAACAGAAGTCTCTGATGCTATCAAACATCTGAAGAAAGGAAAAACAGCCGGACTGCATGGAATCACAATAAAGGAAATAGAAGTTATCGGCGAATGTGGAGTTGACATAATAACTAAAATGTTGAATGGCATTTACAGCAGTGGAGATATACCTAATTTTATGTTGTAGTCTGTATTTATATCCCGCGATCGAAACCCACTGCTGGCTGAGTGGATTTTTATCATGGTATGGGGCGTCGCAGGTCGACCCAGCCTAAAATGGGTACCAGGATGGGCTGTCCTGGGAAAGTAAAGACAGCCGGCGTAATGCTGACCACATTACCCACCGAGTGCTGATGGTCTGTAAAAATATGGGTGCTCTTCCCATATGCCCGATGTGCCTAAAGGCGTGGAAAGGGATCTTTACTTTGTACTTTCTGTATTTATATCACTACCTAAAAGGTCAGGGGCAATTGAATGTGATACATTTCATACAATCAGCTTTATAAACCATGTCACCAAAATGTTACTCACAATAATAATAAGAAGAACAAGAAAAAAAAAATGGAAATTAGTGAAATGTGGTACGGTTTTATAGAAGGAAAAGGTACAAAAATCATGCAATATATCTATATTGCGAACATTGGTAGAGAGATCAATGGGGAAACAGAACAACGTATATTTGTGCTTCGTAGGTTATACCAAAGCTTTTGATAAGGTGACAAATAATGAAAAGATAAAATTGTTGGAGGATATAAACATTAATGAAAAAGATTTCAGAATAATACAAAATATTTACTGGAAGCAAGAAGCAGCAATTAAATTGGGAAATAAAGTAGGCAGTTATGAACAGATAAAGCAAGGATTGAGACAAGGATGTGTTTTGTTACCAGATCTCTTCTCTCTCTCTCTCTGTCTCTGTCTCTCTCTGTCTCTCTCTGTCTCTCTCTCTGTCTGTCTCTCTCTCTCTCTCTCTCTCTCTCTCTCTCTCTCTCTCTCTCTCTCTCTCTCTCTATTGTGAAGTAATAATGATGGAGATCAAGGTAGACCAGGAATACTTGTTAGAGGTTATAATATAAGTAATATTCATTATGCAGATGAGACAGTATTACAAGCTGTAAAAGCAGAAGACCTACAACAACTATTAGACATTTTTTTACTAGAGAGTGAAAACATGAACTCTCTTTAAACATCAAGAAAACAGAAACAATGTCAGAGAAGAAGATAACTCACAAATGTAACTAGCAATTGAATGGAAAGTGCTTCACCTAGTCAATCAATTCAAGTATTTAGGAACATTTATAACATCAGATGGACGATGTGTAACAGAAATTAGGAGTAGAATTGGAGAGGCTAAGGCAGCATTTCAGAAGATGAGGAGTTTCTTATGTAATACATCACTCTCAATAAACACCAGAAAAGAAGAACTGAAATGTTACATCGAGTCTGTTCTGTTGTGTGGTAGTGAATCTTGGAATGTGAGAAAACAAATTAAGAAAAGTTTGGAGGCAACTGAGAAGAATGTTGTGAATACCTTGGACTGCCAAAATAACCAACAATGAATGCCTGGAAATGACTAATGAAAATAGAACATTTTATACAACAATGAGAAGGAGACAAAGTCCTTTGGTCATGTAGTGAGAAAATGAACACTGGAAAATATCGTGACGACTGGAAAGAACACTGGTAGAAGAGGCATAGGCAGGCCAACAGAAATGATGGTGGATGGTTTAAGACAGTGGCATGGAGGATTATCATCAGATCAGTAGAATTGATCCAGAACACCAAAGACAGAGATCTGTAGCAACGCTTGAACGCCTACGCCAGCTGGCAAGGCACTTAATGGTGATGATAGTTTTTCGAGGTGTCACTCTTTTAATGTTGCCTAAACATTTCACTTGTCTCTTTGTTATCTCTTCCAGTAACTATCTCATTATTGCCAGTCTTTCCAAAACCTCAGTGTGTCTTCTTCTTCCTTTCATTCTCACTGCCTGTTATTTTCACATCAGAAGG